CCTTAGCAAAGCGCATCCCAGGCTGCATAGCCGCACTACCCTACCCAACCATACCACACATAAACATGACACTACCCCCGGGGTTTACACAGACGAGCCGGCGAAGCAAGAAGAGCGCCAGAAGAAAGGGCCCTAGCCGGCGGGGCCCAGCCAGGACAAAAGGAGGTCCCACAAAGCGCCTACACCGGCCGCATTTGCGGTCGGGGTAGACGACGGATGGGGCCCACCTACGAAGGCTGTCCAGGCCTACACGAGATGAGGCAGGATAAAGAGGGATAATCCCCCTCGATCCCAAATCATTGAGGCCAATTTCTAGCCATAGAATAATGGCGGCGAGTCTGAATCTAGATGGAAAAAATTTTAGGACGAAGACAGTGTCTATCGCCACCTTTTCGACAGTATCCAAACTATGGAAATGTTGAGATACAAACGATTCCTATGATTTCCCCATGAAAACGTTCAAAAAATGTACCTTTCCTGTTTTGTCCAATTCATTTATAAAACTACTCAATAATTGTGATTAATTCATCTGTAAATAGTATCCTCAAAGCATTCTGCGGGGTGTGACTACGTTTTTACTACCATACACNAAAAGTTCAAAAAATGTACCTTTCCTGTTTTGTCCAATTCATTTATAAAACTACTCAATAATTGTGATTAATTCATCTGTAAATAGTATCCTCAAAGCATTCTGCGGGGTGTGACTACGTTTTTACTACCATACACGATTTTCTGTATGTTCAACAGGCTGGAGTGTCTAGATGCAGGGATGTACCCTCCAATCGTGGATCATTATTCCATGGCTAGAAATTGGCCTCATTGATTTGGCATCGAGGAGGATTATTACTCTTTGTCCGGCCTCATCTCGTGTAGGCCTGGACACACCGTAGGTGGGCCCTATCTGTAGTTTACTCCGACCGCAAATGCGGCCGGTGTAGGCGCTTCGTGGGATCTCCTTTTGTTCTGGCTGGGCCCCGCCGGCTAGGGCTCTTCATGTTTCCCCGCTAACCACAATCTACAACTAAATGCGCCGCTAATGCCAATAGAGCCAATTGCTAATGCTGTCATATAGGAAGCCAAAAAGGTTAAAAGCTTAGTGCATATACTGCTGGAGGCAGCGGCCCAGTAGCAGAGGTTGTGAGGTAAAGGAGGCGCGCCATTATTCTATGGCTAGAAATTGGCCTCAATGATTTGGGATCGAGGGGGATTATCCCTCTTTATCCTGCCTCATCTCGTGTAGGCCTGGACAGCCTTCGTAGGTGGGCCCCATCCGTCGTCTACCCCGACCGCAAATGCGGCCGGTGTAGGCGCTTTGTGGGACCTCCTTTTGTCCTGGCTGGGCCCCGCCGGCTAGGGCCCTTTCTTCTGGCGCTCTTCTTGCTTCGCCGGCTCGTCTGTGTAAACCCCGGGGGTAGTGTCATGTTTATGTGTGGTATGGTTGGGTAGGGTAGTGCGGCTATGCAGCCTGGGATGCGCTTTGCTAAGGTGGCCCTTAGGCTAGCGCGGGAGGGGAGGGTTAAGGAGGGTATGGGGGGTGTGTGTGTGTGTGTGTGTGTGTCGTTGTCTTCGTTTCTTGATCCTGGCTGTCTCTGAAACAGAAAAGGTTATCGGACAGGGGGAGGGGGTCAATGGGGTGGTCACCCAGGGTCATAAAGTTGGTGTCTAGGTCTTTTGTGTTTGTCGGTCACGTCGGGTACGTAGTCAACGGCTTGCCTGAGGAGGGGATTGTCATGTCTAGCGGCTACGTCAAATCGTTTCTCCGCGTTTTGTCTTATTGTCTGTGTAGCGTTTGTGTATTGTAAGTCTCGTAATATGTCAGTGTTTCTTACGTACCAGGGCGCGTCGGTGGCCGTGCGGAGGGCTATGTTTTCCACAGCCTGTAATGACTTTAAGTGGCTTTTTGCCGCGTGACCCCACGCCGTGGAGGCGTAGGTTAGCTGCGGTTGAAGTACCACCTTGATAAGCGTTCGCTTATTCCTTAAACTGAGGGTGTTTCCACCTTTGAGTAAGGGATAGAGCCTAGCCCTGGTGGTCTTCGCAGTAAAGGAGGGTAAATGCTGTCTCTAGCAGCATGCGATGGGTCAGTGACCATTACAGGAGCCAATCGCGTACTGCTAGAGAGAGATAGCATACCCACCCTCTTTCTCACTCTCTGTCTCTCTCTACAACCTCCGCTACACTCGGCCACTGCACTGACACGTTGCCTCCAGTCCTCCAATAGTGTATACTCGAAGACTACAAGTGACGACTGACGGCATTGTGCGTTATATATATCTCTGCAATTCTGTTTTTGTTTATGTATAAAAGAAGATTGTTGCAGAATAATGGCGGATGTTAAGGAAACGTCGTGTAAGCTTTGCCTTAAAACTGTAACCGATGAAAGTTTCGAAGTGATAAACAACATTATCAGAGCCATTCTAGATGTTCTTTTGCTGAAATTGGTAAGCACTTATGTACGTCTTAACAGCTTCGAGCGTAAATTATCTTTTAGTATTTAATTGTTATTTTCCGCCACAGTTATTTTCTTTATGTTTGAAGATGTGTATTTTTCAGAAATTTGATAGCGAAAGCAAAGAGGTTATATGTAACGTTTGCAGAAGAAAGTTAAATGCGGCGTTAGAATTTAAGTCGACGTGTTTGAATACCGATAACACAATTATCCCTTATGTGGATAGCGAAAAAATGTTACAGCCCGACTTAAGAGAAGTGCATGTACAGGAAAAGAAAATTGAATTGGTTCGCAGTCAGAAAATATGTCGATTGTGTATGCAGCCAGTAGAAAGTGAATTTAGGTGCATACGTGAAGAGGAACTTGAAGCTATTAAAAAATTGATACCTGAAATGGTAGGAGCAATATTAAATACTTGCACATTTTGTAATTTAATAAAACTGCTTTGTAGAATATAAATATCATCAAAGGTCCCGTTGTATGTAAGCCATGCTGGGATTCTCTGTGTACTCACAACAGTTTCCTGAAAGATTGCTCAGAGGTAGAGGAAAAAATTAAAAGTATTTTTGATAGTTCAGCCACAGGAAGTCAAATAAATACGTGTCCACTTGATTTATATGTTAAGACTGAAAACCTGGACAAGGAATTCGATATTAACGAGATGGAAATGTCGATTAAAGCTGAATGTGTTGACATAAAATCGGAAGATGAGGAAAGAAGGTAAGAGGAGACTATCTTAACATTAATTTAAAGAAATGGCAGCCCGTGGTTCTGACATTTTGTCACAATCTGGTGATGCAGTAATTGTAACAAATTATGAGATTGTCGGTTATATACGATATCATACAAATTTTTATATAATCATTAAGCTTTATGTTAACAAATTGGAAAAATACGTAAGATCCTTATAAAACAATCAGTATGACTTCGAATCAGATATGGGTACAAAGAATGCTACACTAAATTCCATTTATTCAATCAATTTTTTAACTGGACAGAAATAATTGGGGGTTATGTAAGCAGATTGCAAGAAAATCAGTTTGACCTTCAGTCATTCTTACCCAAAATTAATTTTGAAAGAATTTTGGAATGAGGTATTGANTTTTTAACTTTGGACAGAAATTCAAATTTTCTTGAATGAAAAGGATAGATCTTTTACGGAGTTACAAAATAATTGGTGGTTATGTAAGCAGATTGCAAGAAAATCGGTTTGGCCTTCAGTCATTCTTACCCAAAATTAATTTTGAAAGAATTTTGGAACGAGGTATTGAGCTAATTCAAATTATAAAAATACCTTGAAAAAATGCTCGTCAGATCATCAAAAAATATTTTTTTTTATTTTTGCAATATATAGAAAAGATCTTTGGGTTAGTTTAAAAATACTGTTTTTCTCAGTATTAAAGCTCATGAAAATGATTTGTGAGCCATAGAACTCGATAAGTATCAGAGATTTGAGGAAGGACTTTTAAATTGACATTTGCACTCAAAAAAAAGGACAACTGACAACTGTGTAGCATTGTGAAAATTGTAAATAATATATTTCTGAATATATTTTTTTTTTCATGACAATTTTTGATGAAAATATATAGATTTGTGCAAAAAAAAATTTCAATATAAAAAAAATGATTTAAAGATGCTAAATTTATTCCTTAATTGGCAATTCATAGTGAAAGCCAATCGCAGACGTTTGAACTCTTTACAGAAAGTAAAAAAACGAAAGTATCTTAAATATCAATCTCGGGTTTAACAAAATTCTTCAAATACGCAATTTTGGAATCAAGTTCCTTGCATCAAAAAAAATAAATTTATCAAAAAACGATAAGAATGTCTTGTGGAGGACAGTGTGAAATTTTCAAAACTCTGCTTAGATTTTCTGTATCAAAGCCAAAACAGTTATTTTTTATTTGATTATAAAGGTCTTGAACAGCTCAATTCAAAGAGGATGAATTAAACTAAAAGAGGTAACAGGTGGGATTGCCAAAAAAAAAAAATTGAGACCCGTGGAGCTGTTGAAAGTGAAGCAAAAGTTATAAAAAAAATTCCCCCGGGATTTCTTTTGATTTCTAAATGATAAAAATTTTTCAGCTGAAGATCCTGAAACTAGAACCTTCAAGCTTCAATTCACTTTTTTTTTATTGCCCTACGACCATTTTTCGTTAAGTTACAGCCTTTCGAAAATCACCTAAAAATTTGGGATTTTCTTTTTATCCTTTAATGTTTGTGACTAGAGTATTAAAATTTGTAATAAGGGAAAAAACAAAAATTAAATAATGTTGACGAACAAAAAAAGGTGATATAATGGGTGTTATTATTTGATTAAGATTTAATAAATTTATTATATTGTAGATTGTATTTAAATTATCTGTATCTAACTTTGTTTATGGATTTATTGTGTGACTTTATACATAGCTTCTGACAAATGCTTTTTCTGATAATTGAATACATTATCAAAGATATGAATCGATTCATCATTAAAGTTAAAATTGTGCTAACAGTACTATGGTTGATTCAATTATTGTCATAACCCCTTAAAATTAATACCTGATTATGAAAACTACTCTGTATATGCAATTTTTTCAGTGACACGCCACTTCAGATCTCCGATATTGTTCCATTCGAGGAGAGTGACTGTAAAAATGAAGAAGAGGATGGATGTAAACATGAAAATGGATCAGAAGTGAAAACCAGACAGGAACGCAAAGTATTGTACAAATGTGATAAATGTATCTACGAAACTGAAAGTGACATCCGTTTTACGGCACACTGTGCCAGTCATGAGAAGGATTTGGAAACATATAAGTGTGAATCGTGTGAGTATAAACCTAAAAGTAAGAAATTACTCCAGATGCACCTGTTGAAGCAAAAATATCCTTCAGAGGTTCAGATGTACAGGTGTAACGATTGTGATTATGAAACTAGAGATAAGAGTTATTTCAAAGGGCATCAACTGAAACATAAAGATCCTTCGCAGGTTCAAATGTACAGATGTAAGGACTGCGATTTCGAAACTAAATACAGGAGAAATCTCGAAAAGCATCAGCTGAATCATAAAGATCCTTCGCAGATTCAAATGTACAGGTGTCTGGATTGCGATTATGAAACTAGATACAAGAGTTATTTCAAAAAGCATCAACTGAAACATAAAGTTCCTTCGTACGTTCAAATATACAGGTGTCACGATTGCGATTTCGAAACTAAATACAAGAGTTGAAACATAAAGATCCTTCGCAGATTCAAATGTACAGTTGTAATGACTGCGAATACAAAACTAAGTACAAGAATGCTTTCAAAGTGCACCGACTGAAACATGAAGATCCTTCTCAGGTTCAAATGTACAGTTGTAATGGCTGCGAATACAAAACTAAGCATAAGAATGCTTTCAAACTGCACCGACTGAAACATAAGGACCCTTCACAGGTTCAAATATACAAATGTAATGACTGCGATTACAAAACTAGACAGAACAGTAATTTCAAACGGCATCAACTGACACATAAAGATCCTTCACAGGTTCAAATGTACAGGTGCCACGATTGCGATTTCGAAACTAAATACAATGCTAATTTCAAACAGCATCAACTGAAACACAAAGATCCTTCTCAGGTTCAAATGTACAAGTGTAACGACTGCGATTACAAAACTAGACACAACAGTAATTTCAAACAGCATCAACTGAAACATAAAGATCCTTCACAGGTTCAAATGTACAGGTGCGACGACTGCGATTTCGAAACTAAATATAGGACATTTCTCAAAAAGCATCAACTGAAACATAAAGATCCTTCACAGGTTCAAATGTACAGGTGCGACGACTGCGATTTCGAAACTAAATATAGGACATTTCTCAAAAAGCATCAACTGAAACATAAAGATCCTTCACAGGTTCAAACGTACAAGTGTAACGACTGCGGTTTCGAAACTAAATACAACGGTAATATCAAACAGCATCAACTGAAACATAAAGATCCTTCGCATGTTGAAATGTACAGGTGCCACGATTGCAATTATGAAACTCCATTCAAGAGTTATTTCAAAAAGCATCAACTGAAACATAAAGATCCCTCACAGGTTCAAATGTACAGGTGTAACGACTGTGATTATGAAAGTAAATACACGAATAATATTAAAAAGCATCAACTGAAACACAAAGATCCTTCGCAGGTTGAAGTGTACGGGTGTAACAAGTGCGATTACAAAACTAAATACAATAGTCTTTTAAAACAGCATCAACTGAAACATAAAGATTCCTCACAAGTTCAAATGTACAGGTGTAACAATTGTGATTACGAAACTAAATACAAGAGTGTTATCAAACGACATCAAATGAAACATAAAGATCCTTCTACGTCCAAATGTACAGATGTAAGGACTGCGATTTCGAAACTAAATACAGGAGAAGTATCAAACAGCACCAAGTGAAACATAAAAATCCTTTATTAGTCCAAACATACAAGTGTAACGACTGCGATTACGAAAATAAATACATATACAAACGGAGGAAAGTCGCCTAATATTTTAGTTTCTTCTTTCTAGGGGTATCATCGCTGAATTGTTTATATAATCTCTTCATTATCCGTGATATTCAAAGTTGACATCGAAGATGTTTTACTTACGTCAGAATATGATGACTGTGACGTGGAATGTTGGCTGATAGGAGACGTAAAAGAATCTGAAGATTGGGACTGTTCATGTTCCTAAAAAAGTATTGGTGAAGATAATTTTTATAAAATTATGTGGTGAGCATTAGAATGTTCATTAAGTATTGGGAGAGTCCTACGTGCAAAAAAAAATCATTCAAATGCACAGTCCAGGCAAATGTTACCGGAGTGTTCTAGATCAAACTTGAACACAGTGTGCGTGTACATATAAAGTATAATTACTTATCAGTCGAAAGGGCATTCAATTTTGCATTCACCCATGACAATTAATATGGGCCACTCCATTTGGAAAAAAAAAGTTTTTCAACTCGTAAGATTATTAATTGTAGGTCTCGGTATTTCCGAGTCTGAATAACGTACACGTTTTGCTCACAGATGACAATATAGAGTAATTTATGGGAAAATGAATTGTGAAAAGTGCAGGTTTCTAACTCTTACGGTTTAAACGCTATCTATCCTCATTTAGAGACGTGAAATTGTGATTTTTTTTCAAAAATAACTGATTATCTCGAAAACGGTAAGTTTTAAACGGCATGTACATTAAATAAACTCTACACATGATTCCAGACAACCTTGATTAAAATTATTTTTTTTATATAAATTTTACACTTGCACAGTTACTGAAGAATCCCTCTCAGGTGGAACACCCTGTATAAAAATTTTTCTAATGTGTGCCTTTTCGTAAAGATTAGTAATTGTATTAATTGTTAATACTGAATTTCTGTTTGTTACATACGTACCTAAAATAATAAAAAATAGGAGATAAAATACAAAAATACAATCTAATTATTTAAGTTCGATGGGTTCAAATCTGGACAACTTGGAAGCCGCTCGATAGGATTTTTAAGTCTTATTTATATCCTAGGATATTATCTGTTTTGCCACTGAAATTCATCACTTTATTGGAATCTTTTTATCTGTTGTTCTTGTTCTGAAAAGCTAAAAGTAAAAAAAATACAATTAAAAAATTATATAGAATTGTTGACGCTCTTGTAACAGTTTCTTCTGTTTATTTTACACTCCTAATACTATTTTATAATAACTTGATTTATCTGTGATCTTCTGCTAAGAGATGTCTAAATATATTCAGATTCCAAAATCAAATTCAAAATGGCGTACAAGATCAAAATCGCTTCTGAATAATTTTTTTATATTAAAATGTGTTCAAAGGTCGCAAAGTAGCCAAAAGATAAATATGAGATATTTTTTCAACACACACACCTCGTGCATAACCCTTAACGGTAATGATTGAAGAAGTTAGTCTGAATCTAGACGGAAAAAATCTTAAGAGTGTGGCTATCGCCATCTTTTCGACAGTATCCAAACTATGGNTCGCAAAGTAGCCAAAAGATAAATATGAGATATTTTTTCAACACACACACCTCGTGCATAACCCTTAACGGTAATGATTGAAGAAGTTAGTCTGAATCTAGACGGAAAAAATCTTAAGAGTGTGGCTATCGCCATCTTTTCGACAGTATCCAAACTATGGAAATGTTCAGATACAAACGATTCGTATAATTTCCCACATGAAAACGTTAAAAATATGTACCTTTCCTGTTTTGTCCACTTGATTTATAAAACCACTCAATAATTGTGATTAATTCATGTGTAAATAGTATCCTAAAAGCATTCTGCTGGGTGTGACTATGTTTACACGAGTATCCTACCGTACGCGATTTTCCGTATGTTCAAAAGGGGGAGGGGGGGAAGTTCAGGATAAACGCACGAGGTAAAAATATGCTTACGAGCTTATGCAATTAAGCCACTTTGAAAGTATGGATGAAGAGATTAGGGGTCCAGCTATCCCCCGTATAAATATTGTTGCTTTATCTTTCTTACTATAAAATACACATGGTCTGAAGCTAGTCACAGTTCCTCTCCATTTTTTTGAAAAAAATGAAATCTCGAAAACGGTTAATTTTAGGAATAGGGAAACTTCATAAAAGTCCACCTAAAATAACACGTAGAATCCAAAATTGCAATAATATATAGGGTGTTCCATTTAAAATAAGCAGGTTGATGGCGACTTCCGGTATAACCGGAAGTGGTACGTGGACGCCATTATTTTAGTTGAGAAGGGCATGCCCGAAAACCCGGTATCCCAAATTTTCAAAATTCAAATCGAAGTAGTCTCTGAAATAATTCTAATGGACCGTCACCGTGAGACACCCTGTATATATAAAAATTGATTATGCCATTCGATAGAGGGCAAAAATTTGCCATGAGAAAGTGTTTTTCATTTTTCAGTATCACCTCAAACGAGGCTGCAATGAAACAAAATCGGATTTCCAAAACTTCGGATTTTTTCAAGTATTTCGAAAACTGATCTTGTTAGCCTTGATTTTTTAGAGGCATAATGTTGGTCCCCCTGATTACGCAACTTTGCACCCATTTAAGCTAGTTCCGTATCTTTTACCGTTTCCGAGATCAATGTAGTGGAAAGTTAATTTGTAACAACCTGTATAATTAATGTAATAATGTAAGTAATAATTACATAATTCAACAATATTAGGAATAAAAACTATGCACTAAAACTAAGCAAAATAGATGTGCATTTTTTTTATAGAAGAAACTGTTGAGTATTGCTGTAAAATTGTATTGCTTTGTATTGCACAAAGGTTTTTCGGAAGTGAATCTAGACCTACCACAATATTCGGCCAGTAGCCTAGCTTTTAATGCGTTTTTAATCCGTAGTGAACTACAACGATAAACCTCTCTTTATCTAGACACGTGAATAAATGATATACTTTTTTACATTTTAAATATTAACAAGTATTTATTTGTTATTAAAAACAAATTTGTAAGGATAATAATTGTTTTCGAATGTTACGTTATTACAATTTAGTATTTTTAATATTGTTAACATTTCCACCATGTTTTAGAATTGAATACGAGTCTTTAGTATTATCGATTAATTATTCAGTTTGTAGTACATATTCCTAGTGACTCACTGTTTTTCAAATAATAGTATGGCGCCTACCTATTTAAACTGCCAATACGGCTAAAACAACACTCCATAGCACTGTGTTAATAAAGTTGTAATCCGCTGCACTTTAGTTTTGAAAACAATTTCAAAATTCAAGAGGACTGGGGAAATCAGCTGTTTTGCTTCAACGTTCGTTCGAACTGTCTATCAAAAATGTGCTGCAAAGTGGGACGTCGAGTTAGCGGGGGTTAAGGAATAGAATAAAATTTTTTCGATTTGATGTATTTATTAGGCTTTCCGAATACGTGGTTAAAATTAATGACATCACTAACTGTATCATCCTGTACAAACTTTTAAATTGCAACTAAGAAATCCGTCTCACTTTGCTGTTCCGGTTCCTGGTAGACTTCCACACGACAGTGTGGCATGTCACGGGTGATGTGAATACGCTTATCTGTTTATTTTTTATTAATGTGACCGAATAGTGGAAATAAGGTCTGCTTATAACATTGTTGCGCCAGTTCCCAGTTGTAAAAGATCTTTAAAATTAGGTATAATTTAAAATATAAATAAACAACCTTTTTTGCACTATCCGCTCACAGCTCACATTAATATAAAAATATAGAGAGGTATTCACACGACCCGTGCCATGACACGTGTGTCATGGGACGGCTGTCGTGTGGAACGACTGAGAAGGAACGAAGAAACTGGGTCACTCCGGTTTCTCGTGTCTTGTCTATTAAGTAAACACAATGGTCCCTGGTACAGTGGCGTACCGAGTTTAGGTTTAAAATCAATCATAATATAAGGAAACCATAAAAATTATACTTTTTAATAGAATTTGATAAAATCAGAAGCGCTCGATTATTTAAGCTTTCATGTGTAATAAATNGTAGACTTCCACACGACAGTGTGGCATGTCACGGGTCATGTGAATACGCTTATCTGTTTATTTTCTATTAATGTGACCGAATAGTGGAAATAAGGTCTGCTTATAACATTGTTGCGCCAGTTCCCAGTTGTAAAAAATCTTTAAAGTTATAATTCAAAATATAAGTAAACAACCTTTTTTTCCACTATCCGCTCACAGCTCACATTAATATAAAAATATAGAGAGGTATTCACATGACCCGTGCCATGACACGTGTATCATGGGACGGCTGTCGTGTGGAATGACTGAGAAGGAACGAAGGAACTGGGTCACTCCGGTTTCTGGTGTCTTGTCTATTAAGTAAACACAATTGCAGTACAGTACAGTGGCGTACCGAGTTTAGGTTTAAAATCTATCATAATATAAGGAAACCATAAAAATTATACTTTTTAATAGAATTTGATAAAATCAGAAGCGCTCGATTATTTAAGCTTTCATGTGTAATAAATAGACAATAAATAGGAAAAAGTTAAGTGTTTTCTTCAAAATCTATAATTAATATTTTAAAAACATTTCCAGAACAAAAGAGTGACTAAAGAAAACTCCTCGATTGAAACTGTCATTATACTATAACTACCAAGCGAACATAATTCTACAAGTATCCAGTGTTACAAAATATGATGCATTCAATGTCGTTGCCTGCTATTAGTTCTATTATTTCATAGTAGTTCTCGATTACTGGAAAAACTACATTTATTAAAATAAATAATTTAAATAAAACTACAAGGAGCAAAAATATATTTCATTAAAATCTGCTGGAATATAAACAATGCAAAGAAAACAAAACATACTTGTACTAAAAGTAACGGAAAAATGAAATTACATTGAACAACATTTAATCGTATGGGAAAATAAACATTCCAAGCACGTTTTAAATGCACGCAACAAAAATAAACTGATGAATTTTGAGCTCATAGCATTGACAGCTCTTCTCTTACGGAACAGGGACAACATGTGATCGAAGATATTTTATAGCAACATCTATAAATTTCCTTCACTGGCAATTTCTCGAAAGGGGAACCTTTGAGACGGCGCAACCTTTTCATCAACACTGCTAAAAATGTTTGTTATATTATTCTTATTACCTTTTTAATGCGGCGACTAGTCATTTTAAACACATGCTACTGAACCACTCAATTGGCAACAAAGAAATATTGAAGAAATGTCCCAATCCGCGACA